TCGGGAACAAAGCCATTATTAAGTCCAAGTTCAAGAAAGACTATTATAAATGTTCATTTGTTGTGCAGTAAGTTGGTAACCACCGGAAAATTTGGTGCTATATCAATAGGAACCTGTAAATTCATCAAATGGGTACACATAAAAAAGGAATTCAAGCTATTAACTTAATTATATATATATATATATATATATATATATATATATATAATGATAGTATCAATAGAAAGTGCATAACCTAAAAAACCCCAAGAAACCCTAGAAATATATATATATATATATTATATATATATATATATATATATATATAGATATATATACTTTGCTATATCTAAGTTTTTTTTGACTTTACAAACCTAAAAATCAACACTTTTTATTCAAAATCACTGAAAAAAATTATTAAAAAAAATTCAATTTTTTTCCAACAAATTGGTATTAAAAGATGCGATATTTAGGTTTGTAATATCAAAATAAAAAAAATAGATACCTCAAAGTATTGTTTTCTATGTATTTTATGATTTCTAGGTTTTTAGGGTTTCCAAAATTTATACATTTTTTGCTGATGTTTCCCATATATATATATATCTATATATATATATATATATATATATATATATATATATATATATATATATCTTAATAAGCATTTAGCCCAAAATGCTGAATTTTAAGAGGTACAATACTTTATGCAATTTATACAATAAATTTATGCACTAAACTGTATTATAGAAAATTAAGGAAGTAAATCGGTCAAAATTAGACTTAGTATTCCCTATTTTAAGCAAATAGAATCGGTCTACAGTTGAAGTCTATATAGCATATCATATCTCTTCTCCACCACTGACACACTCTAAACTATCTCCCTTATGAACGAATTCTGGAACTCCGTTCACCCTCCTCCATGACCACCTTCACCACTGTCTCACTTCATCTCACGATGGTCCACCATCCCATCTCTTTAAAATCCAGTCAAACCAACAACACCTTCACTTTAATCTCTCATCTCCTGTCCCACTTGCCCACTTCCTCGATCGTAAGCATCGTCGCCTGCCGGCTTCACCATCTTCTCTATTGTCCACCCACTTCACTAGATCTGTCAACACAAATAACCTTAAAACCTTATATTCTCCACCTTTCTTGGTCTCTCTATCATCCACCACTACCACCTAAAAGTTATGAAGGCAGATCCGTCGAGTCCAGGTACGATCACACCATCAAAGCCATCGCATCCCTCAATGTTTCTAATTTGTTTCTTATGTTATTTCTTTTTTGCTTCAGTGAAAAAAAGAATGGAGCCTCTTCATAACGAAAACATTAAAAAAGTTTCAGCCCCAAATTTGTTTACTCTTTAAAATTGATGATTGATTTGGTGCTTTCAGGGTAATTTCTGAATTGATCCCTTCTTCCACTATCTCCATTCCAATGTCTACTTCTCTCATTCTTAAATGGCGACCACTAACGCGTAGTGTCGTCTCCACCGCCGCTAAACCGTTATTGTCTCCACCACCGACATGGTCGTCACAACCAAAAAGATATGGTGGTACTGTCCTTCATCTGCCATAGGAAACTCTTACCATGTATTGTTTTTGCTAATGTTTGTCAAGCTTCATTAATCTATTGGCTAATACATCTGATTTTTTATTTGTGTTGATACATTCTGTGTTTTTGCCTATGATGTTCTACAGCTCACCACCGATGTTCATAACCCCATGGAATAAATAAGTATATCATGTTACTGAATAACTTTTTGAAATTTGTTTCTCTGTATATATGTTATACACACACTGAAAACATAGCTTGTAATGAAATTACTCATTGAGAAGTTACTCAATGTTGTTTTAAACATCAAATGGGATTTCTTACATGAAAATGAAGGTATATTTATTAAATTATGACTATATTATTGTAAATTTGTTTTTTAATTTGATCATGAATGGATGGAGAACATATTAGAACCAACCTCATACAAAAGACAATGTAACTATATCTGTGGTATTTTCTCACTAACAAGCCCTAATTCTGTACACGTTTGATTTTTAGTTCCTCTCTCATTGTTGCTGATTTGGATGATCAATGATTATCATTTACAAAGGACCTTGGTTCATATGCCACAATTGAAGTCTCAAAAAACGTCAGGTAAGCTCCTTCTTTCTTGAACTTCTCTCTGTCTAATCCAAGGTAAAGTTATTCTCAATGTTCCAGTCCGGTACTCATAAAATTAGTCCGGTACTCATAAAATCTTATATATTACAACCTTTCAAGTCTTTACCATCTTGAAGATATGAATGTTTTGTTTGGTTTGTTACATGTTTTGTTTAATTTTTATGATTTTTTCTTGTGTTTGTTCTATTATTTAGTTTTTTCTGTTCACTTTATAAGTGTTGGTTTTGGTTTATTTCAGATCTGGTGAAAATCTAATGCACAACTCTTAAAGCATGAACAGGTATATGGTGAGAAAGATTGTGGTTTCTCTTTTGCGAGTTTATTATATATATATATATATATATATATATATATATATATATATATATATATATATAGAGAGAGAGAGAGAGAGAGAGAGAGAGAGGAGAATAACAGAGACATTATTATCTTTATATGGATTTGATAAAGCCAAACCGACATTAGCACCATGTTTTCAATAGGTCCTTCAGTTTAGTGTTTCACAAACATTAGTGCTCTTGAAACTATTTGGAATTTGCAAACGTGTAGCTGATTTGTGTGTAATATTTGCCCCTGTTTCAGTTTAATGTTTCACGAGCATCACACCAGGAGCAACCAAGTAAGGGTGAAATGGTCCAAGTGTTTGAAACTTGCCAAAACATTAACCATGATTCTATAACCCCCAAACAGCTATGTGATCTCCATCAAAAACCACCAACACCACACCAGAAGCAATAAACCGGGGGTAAAATGGTCCAAGTTTTGGAAACTTGACAAAACAAGAGCCATGAGTCCATAAACCCCAAATAGCTTTGTGAAGATGTGTACAAAAACTATATCAACAAAATGACAATCTCACCCTCAGGTGCTCTGCTACATCCTCTTGATCCACACTACAATTTATTTTCTTCTTTTCATCCATTACATAAGTGGGTTCTCTCTGTTTTTTCAGACAAGAAAAGCATAAGAAAAGAAACAATAGCTTTAAAACTTTGCCTTTCCATAACAAAGTCAAGTCGACTTACAAGTAGAGGACTCATAATTGTTTAAAAGTAAGGCCATTTATTATCCTAACAAAGTCAACTCACAATTATAGATTTCTACTATCTTTTATGTAGTTTAATGATTCTTTGACTGAGTCTCAGTCATAGTAACCTGTTACATACATGACTTTATAGGCACAATGACTACTCTTTATTCTTCTATCTTTTCGAAAAAACTACCTACGTATAGTATCTCACTTATAATTTGGTATATGGTTTTTAAAAATAGTAAAATACAAATGTCTAAATCAAGTTTCTACAACCATCACCCTCTCTCTTGCGTCTAACCTTGAACTGTCATTGTAAAACACCACCTAGGGTCTTCAACTACCCGCTTCCCTTATTTTCTCCACCATCAGCCATTATCTTTAACCACCTTTACTCACCCTTGCTTTTTGTGTAGTAACTCACACACACACGAAAATACAATGGGGGATCAAGCTTGGATCTTAGATAGAAAGACAAATATAGGGACCAATATTTTTAGTTGACTCAAATCTTGATATGAAATATCTCAACAAGTCAAGTTTTTTGTACCTTTGATTTTACATCTACTGACCTCTAAAAATGTTTTGAATGTTTGTTTTATACTAATTTTGGTAGGAAATTCATAAGTTTTTGTTTTGATTCAAAGGAAAAAGGTATAAATAAGTGAGATCTATTTCTATTTCTATATACGCTATATCTAATTGCATGTTATTTACATATGTATGTAATAAATAGTGTTGGTTTGTGGGTTTACAGGTCATGGTCCTTTACTTCAGAAGGATTTGGTAAGACCTTTTTCAAATTTGAGTTTAAATAGCCTTCAATTCTAAAATAATGGTGTTTTTAAACAAAGTTGCTATAATTGCCTAGAGATTCGACAAAATATATGTTGCTACATGTGCTAATGAACCCTAAAGATGTAATGGTTGCTTGCCACATCTTTTTATTAATGATTTGTAACAGAGGCTTAAACATTTTGTCAGAAATTTGATTTTTACTAAAATTTAGTTATTTGTGTTGTTATATTTATGTGATTTTTTAATATATATATATATATATATATATATATATATATATATATATATATATATATATATATGGCTATTTTGTGGTGTGACACAAAAACTAATGTCATTACTAAATTGTTGTTGAGTTTTACAATTGATTGTTTAACCGGAATAATTTAAAACATACCAATTTGATTTTAATTATTGTTATAATTCCAATAACTTTATTGTTATTTAAATAATCATTTCAGATAATATCTAAATTTATGCATCAGATTAACAAGTTAAATAATTAAAAAACTTAAAATACTTTGTTATGATAAAATATATAATTTTTGTAAAAAGCTTGCATAAAAAATATTTGATATATATTAATGGGTTTGTTCACCTAAAAATGAAAAAAAGTACAATGTTATAAATGGATAGATTTTTTCGGGTACTTCGACAACACTTTGAGTATTAGCTAATTATTAGTGAAACCTGATGAAAAATTCAAAGGTAGTGATGTTTATAAATCAAATGTAGTGTATAAAAACATATTGCACGATTAATAATGTAAAATCTTTCATGTGTTCGTGTATATTTGTAAACAATAAACTAATTAATGAAAAACTATTTGCACCAGTCGCTAGGCGCGGGTAAACGGCTAGTATATATATATATATATATATATATATATATATATATATATATCTATATATATATATATATATATATATATATATATATATATATATATGAAAGTCACTTTTACCTCAACATTTGTCAGTTTTTCTAAAGCAGAGGCTTTGTCATTTGACTTCTAAAGCAGAGGCTTTGTCATTTGACCATATTTTTCCAGGAGCTTTTGTGCAGAATCTTTGTCCCCTTTGGCCTGTATTGTAAGTATTTCCCTACTTAAGCTCTCAACCGCACCTTCAATCTATGGCAACACATGAAAAAAATATTAAATGTAAATTCATATTATGATTACAAAAAGGAAATCTATTGAAAAGCTCATATATACTGGCTTATAACCGATTTAGTCCTTATCTTTTTTTAGACAATTTGGTCCCAAAAACTGACAATTGTATTTATTTTGACCGTTTTACCCGGTAATTAGTCATCAATAGAATATAATGAACTTTTCGCAAATTAATCCATGACTATAAGGTTTTTTTCATAATATATTATTTTTAATTTTTTTATTATCTCATTATATTAGTATATTTTTTTGTATTGTATTGTCTTATATTAATCTTATTATATTTTCTTTGTCTGATAGATTATATACATTATGAAAATAACTTTTTTCTTCTAAAAATAATCATTTTTATAATATTTTGTCTAACAAATTTTATTATTTTACATTGATCTTATGATATTTTGTTTGACTAATAGAGAATATTTGTTATGAAAAAAAAGTCTTTTGAAAGTAACCATTTTTATAATATTTTTGTCTAACAATTTTGTATCTTATATTAATCTTATGGTAATATCTATTATGAAATATATTTTTTCTTTTTAAAAGTAACCGTATTTATAATATTTCTATATATCGTTATTTTACATTAATCTTATAGAATTGGCTATTTTTTAGAAGAAAAAAACTATTTTCTTAATAGATATTCTCTGTCAAAGAAAATACTTTAAGTTTAATGTAAAATAATACAATAAGTTTATTTTTTTAAGAGAAAAAAATTTCATAATAGATATTATCTTTCTGACAAAGAAAATACTATAAGTTTAATGTAAAATAATACAATACGTTAGACAAAAATATTATACAAACACTTTTTTTTAGAAGAAAAAACTATTTTCATAATAGATATTATATGTTAGACAAAGAAAAATACCATAAGATTAATGTAAGATAATACAATTTGTTAGACAAAAAAATATATACTAAGATAATGTTAAAAGTATATAGATTTTTTTCAAAAAAATCCTTATACTTTTGGATTTATTTGTGAAAAAGTCTTAATATTATGCGGTGACCGGTTTAATGGGTAAAAGGGTCAAAATGAATGCAGTTGTCGTTTTTTGTGACTTAATTGAGTAAAATAAAAAGATAAGGATTAAATCGATTATAAGATCAAGATTTTTCAATAGATTTTCCTTAAAAAAAAACAAAGTTTAAGGAAGCATACATTTTCAAAGTCAACAGAGAATGTCTCATCAGGATGCAAAACATAAGCTCCTTTCTCAAGTAGCCAGTTAAACTGTAGTGCTTGTCCTTTACTGATATACATGTATAATAATCCATTACTCTAAATATAAATACAACATGACACACACACATATATATATATATATATATATATATATATATATATATTTATATTTATATATATGAAAAGTTTATAAAACTAGTGATTAGTTGAGTTACCTATGAACTTCCTCTAACCCGAAACGTGCTGTTCGAAAGCAACTAGCAAGGAAAGATACATAGATTGATTTTACAAGGCTCTTTGGAAGCAAGTCCTGGTCAACCCCATTGGAAAAAAGTCAAAACATGAAGAGGATATGACAACTATACCCATACCAACTAACCTTTGAAATAAGGAAATTAAGGGCCCACAGGCCGACAATGTCTGCTTTAGCTTCTTCAAGAGTCGTATGAAGTTCTTGTAGCTCCTGTTTCATCGTATAAACTGTTTATGAATTTCTTAAACAGTTTAATGGAATGAACCAATCCATTCCCGATTCCATCATTAACCAAACACTACGTAAATATAGAAAATCAGAGAAACTAACCAATCTCACGGTAGACTTTTCACCACTAGGAAGTGTTATTGTATGTGGTCCAATACCATGACAACATTCATGACAAATCGTGTGAGTGAAAAAAGAGTCAAAGTTAACCAGCTCCCGTTGTTCCTCTATAATAATCAAGTCAGTTATAGGCTGAAGAATTAGATTGAACCTGCTTATAAAAAAAAGTTTGGGTATCAGATCATTTTTTCAACTTATCTTTCAATACTTCTACAATTAATCATAAAACGTATATTCGAGATATCATATATATATATATATATATATATATATATATATATATATATATATATATAATCATGGATTGTTCACTTTACTTTGCTTCAGAAACATTCTTCAACATGACCATTGATGTACCACGATCTTTTACAATACGCTCGTCATTCGGAAGATTAAAGGCTTGAATTTGTGGGCCCTTCACGTCCTGCATTAACATATATAAGAGATTATCAAAATGTCATAATTTAACAAAATACTTTCACAAAACACATATATGTATAAGTGGAACTATACATGCTTTCTAGGGCTCTATAGTTATGATGAGGGCATTCACATCATTTGTGCCATTAATTAACTTACCCCTGAATTATAAACAAGTTGGATGATGCGAATAGGTGCAAATGTCACATCTTCTGATTTGTACATGTCATCCATTGGAAGATTTTTCTTCAAGTCCTACACACACATTAATTGATTTAATGAATAAAAGTACCACTAACAAAGTTGAAAAATAACTAACGATTATCCTTTCAGCAACCCTTGAGTTGGCCCATATCACCCCTGCCTTTGGGACTTTTAAATATATTTTTTTTAAAAACAAAGTAATATTGATCATTAGTAAATCCAACATTGTACCTATAAATGATCCCCAAAGAGTTGAAGTTGAGCAGTTGCTTTATCATCCCGAATTCCAATAAATGCCTCAAACGCTGCCTAAAGAAAAAAACTCAGAAAAATCTCAGTCATGAATTTTTATTTTATTTTTTTCTTTAACTTTTACAATGAAATCATTGTGAACAATTCAAAAAAGAATAAAAACAATACCTTGTATCCAAATAGTACGTCTTCATAAGTCTCATATGGTCCAATAGTAACGTCCAACTTAGAATCCTTAAGAAGATGAGAAAAACAAAAAACAATTACAACCATATTTAAAAGAAGAAAAGCAACACAAATTACAAAATTTTGATGTATAATGAAGTAAATTGTGCACTGACCAGTTCCATCCAAGCTATATCAGAGTCATAATAGTCATTTGAGAGGAAAGCTTTAGCCTTGCTATGTAAAAATCTCTTCAAACTGGAAAAATGTGAATTAACTTAATACGTATGAATTAATAGATATTATAAGATTTAATAAAATGTATACCTAGGTGAAGTGGTTAAATCCCCTGCTTTATTCAATAATTCAGCAGCCTTTTCCAAAATGTAGAATATTCTTGAGAGATTGGGATGATATGGAGATCACTTGTGGGATTGGAATGAGTGTCACTATGCCTTCGAATAACACTGAAAAAGCCTGTTGCATCTTTCTTTTCATTATCCGAGAGCCCTTTCATCCACAATTCAAATTCCTTACCAAGATTAAGAAAGTGTTAAATGCAAGTAATAACAATGTACTTTAATTTTTTATTATTATACCAATATCATCTAAATACAAAGAATGTTCATTTGATGGGTAATTATTCAAAGTGTAATGTCTAAATAAGAAATATTTTAAAAGTATGATACCTTTATAAGAAAAAAAATTAAGTACAATGCTAAAATAGAAAGAAATGAAGTCAGGGTGCTAAAATATACAAACCACGAGATATATCAATATACTTTCATTTACTTTTTTTTATTATAGGCTTATAGCATCCTGCTTTCTTTTCTTCCTTCTACAACATTATACTTTGAAGATTCTACATAGTTATAGCAATGTCAATTACATACAAAGTAATGTTGATTACTATGAATAGGATAGATTTTAATGCCATAATAACAAATAAATTGAAAGTAGAATGTTACAATAGACAAAATGCAAGAAAAAGCAATGTACTTTCATTTATTAGTCTATTATATAGCATTATACTCTCACTCCTTCCTATTACAATATTTTACTTTGAAAAAGCTACCCAGTTATAGTAATGACATCAAAATACAAAGCAATTTTCACTGCCATAATTTGCTAAAATTTTGGTATATTTTCACAGTGTAATATCCTAATAAAAAATAATTTGAAAGTAAAATGTATTAATAAGAAAAAAAACAAAAAATAGAAAGCTAAAGTAGAATGTACACAAAATTTCTTAATGTACTTTCATTTATTTGTTTATTATATCATCCTACTTTCATTTGCACCTGTTATAGTATTGTACTTTAAAAATTAACCAAGTATAAAAATTTCATCATAACAGAAAATAATTTTCATTCGGATAGATTTTTCAAAATTAAATACCCCTGATAAGAAAGAGTTTGAAAGTACAATGCAATAATTAGAAATATTTTTCAACGTATAATGCCTTAATAAAAAATTCTCTTAAAGTACAATGGTAACATAGAAAGAAATTACCATTTTATCCATGTCTGGAGGGTAAAAGTTGGCACCAGGTGGTTTCAACATGGGAAATGCAACTTTGTATTCAACACCTTTCCAGCCAACCACCTTCCTTGTTGCTTCCGGAAACAATTTCATAGCCGAGTCTGCAGTCGTTACAAAAGCTTCATTTTCATCCAGAGTAGACCTGTCAAATAAAATCAACTCAACTTTGATAGCACTTTACATTTTCTGAAATCACATTCATATAATACATTAGATATACTCGAGTTCACATATATAAGAAATAGTTTTTTTTTTCAATTAAATGACAGTTTTTACAAAGTCGTGGATTTACTATATAAAAAGATCTAGTAGTAGAGACAAATTACAATACTTATATGACCAGAATCTTACCATGGACTCTTATTTATCAAATAATACTTCCATTTTAACATGTCAAACTCAGATAATTGACTCTGCTGGTTTAACCATTCCCTTAAGGACGCATTGCTGTACCAAACCTGATCAAAAGGGAATCTACTAATTTGTTATTATCCAAACTAGCATGTGAAATAAAGTGGTTACGTGTTTATAAATCAATATGTATCAATAAATATGCAGAAGTTCATAAAATAGACCTGGTTATAGAATATATCATCTATTATTCTTCCGGCTTGAATGAGTAAAACCATAACTTCCTTGTCCTCCTCGGTCAACTGCCATGCAATAATTTAATCAAATTCCTAATTCAAGTTGTAATTAACAACGAAATAAATAAAAAAAAGAAAAAGAAAAACAACCTCTACATCAAGTGAGACAGGAGCATAACGGTTTAGCTTCTTTTGCAGAGTCAAAATCTTTTCTACCACATTGTCTTGGTACCTATCAGGATATCCAGTTAATGCTTCAACTCAATATTATGATACATGATATGTGAATTATGATTTCAAGATTATTTATGTATGCATATAAGAGTGCTTCTACGCATGCATAAATATGTACCTTTTGGTAATTATGTCAAAAAGTTGACCATATTGTCCATCCAAATTGTAGGGTACATATGCAGGGTGTCCTTTAACAAGTAGGTGCTTGTACTCTTCAACTGAGATATATTTAACAGCTAAGACTTTAGATCCCTATAAGAAAAAAGAAATTATATATTTAATGAACTGTTGTAAAATGAGCACCTGAGATTTACAAGTTTAGAACTCTAGGGCATGTCCCATTTTTTGATGGATGCTACCATTTTCTACTTTGGTATACTTGGAGAAAACATTACCTGAAGAGTAAAAGCTTCCATTGGAATTGGGGCTAATGTTGTCACAAGATAAACATCATTAAATTCTTTATCCATGAACCTCCCACGGTATGTAACACTACAACCGAATTCAAAGACAATAATATCACTTCAATAACAAGTACTAATCTTAAAAAATGTTCATTATGAAAATTTATTATTATCCAAGATTCCATGCATTGCAAAAGGTTTCTATTTTCACTTTTGGTGACCTACGTATACATAAAAACAACATGCTAATTACATAGAAGGTGTACCGTTCTTCCATAAAATCAAATAGCAATTCAAAGGCATCATCCGGGAGGTTTACACCAAGCTCTTCTAGAAGCCCTCTCCTACAATCATACGCCCATTTCAAGTCATATAACCATAATTTCCAAGTGTAAAATAAACTTTTGACGTATATAGCATAGACCTTTATGCATAAAGTGTTGGCTTAAGATGTCTAAGGTCCTAACTAAATTGGTATAACGTTGATAAATAAAAGTAAAGTCCTTTTTGGGTTGCCCTCATAACCAATAAATTGCATAGTTGAGCAGAGAAGAGGTTCCATAATCTTCCTCCTATGGACGTTTTTATGAAGCCTGAAAAGATTTCTCGAATCCCCCATTTAGATAATCAAGGAACTAGATAACTGCCTTATTTGAGATAATATTATTTTATGTTCAAATTATAGTTTCTAGATGTCTCCTAATCAACTATAAATAGGCCCTTATGCCTTGGAATTTTCGGCTAATATATCCCTCCATGGTAGATCCGAAAATTCATCCTCTCTCCTCTCTCTTCGAATCTTTCTAGGGTTCTTGTGTTGTGGGTGTGACCCAATAGATGCTCACACATAATTGGAGCTTGTTTTCAAAGAGACTTGTGGATTAATCTTATTAGAATCAAAGATTTGTTTGCAATAACAAATCAGAGGCATGTAATTCTTTTGAGAATTTCGATTTACACGGGGGTTTAGATTTTGTTGTTCAATAGTATATTGCTTCAATAGTGTTATGGCATGGATCAAAATAGGTTGCATGTACGCATCCTTAAGAGTATAAGGATTTTCTCGCATTATTACATGTAAAACGCATCATAAAGATTTCCATTCAAGTTAGTTCATAGATGGTTGATATGTGCATAATTAGCCATATGTTTAGTATAGATTTTTATTAATTTTTAGCTAATTATTTGCATAATATGGACAAAAGGTACTTAATAAGGTCTAAATTATATTTTCAGTCCAGAAGACATGCTTGGAAGCAAAAAGGAAGAAGGAGAAGCAATTAGAAGCTGGAGAATGAAGATAGAAGAGAAAACCTGGAGATACTCGGCGAGTCCACGAAGCTACTCGGCGAGTTCCGAAGAATGTTCGCGAAGTAATGTCCAGAATCCTTACCGCACACGGATTTAACAAAGGTACTCGGCGAGTTGGAGAGCTACTCGCCGAGTTGCCCCTGTTTTGAGATAAGTATAAATAAAGGATCTTATTCCGAATTGGGGGACTTTTGCTGGCTTTTTGGGAGGATAACCTGCGATTGAAGAAACCCTTGGAGACCTGAAGAACCCTAATCTTTGATCTTTTGAAGACTCAAGGCGAATTAGGTTAAATTTTCCACTTAATCTTAGAAGTGAATCATGTTTAGATTAACTAAATTCGTTTTTGAGCTTGTTCTTACTGTAATCATGAGCTGAATTTTCATAGTTTCTGTTTAGGAAAAACCAAGTTACTCCTATGGTTTGATTTATACTTTTATTGATTGGTTATTGGTGATTTTATTAAATTAAGTTTGTTAAAGAACCTTATGCATTAACCATAACTATTATCTGTTAATTGGAAGACAATTAGGCTGCATGAACATCTCTTAATTGTTAACCTCATATGATTTATGTGAACACTTCATTATATGCCTAGGATTAGTGAATATAAAACTAGGATTAACTAGAGAATGGGTAAATTAATGTGTGAGCTTGTTTGAGAAACCAACAAACAAGAGGTTAGTTGAATTACTAATTTGATTAACCAATTACAAATCTTATTTAATCCAAATAATTGAACTAGGGAGTTAATTAGTTTAAACAATTGGCCACTGCTTGAATTGATTAATTTTCTAAGGGTTAATAATAGTGAATGCGAATTTAACCACTATAGTTGGTAACCAATAACAATTAATTTATCACTTTATCATAAAATTAACCATAGGAGTGAATTGGTTGGACCTAAACAGAAACCCTTTATTAAATTTGGTGAATTTTTTACTTGTTTTAGTTGATTAGTTAATTACTTATTAGGTGGTGTGTTTAAGTTTCTAGTCTTGTAAAACTAGAGAAAAACCCTTTACTTTTATTATTTGTTTAGTTAAAATTAGTTATTAGTTTAATCTCCGTTCCCTGAGTTCGACACCGTACTTATCCAACTATACCACTAAAAGACAGGTTCACTGCCTTTGTGTGCTAAATCTATATTTTTAAAGTAGGAATAAAACCAGTGCATTTTACACACATCAAGTTTTTGGCGCCGTTGCCGGGGAACGGTTCAAAAAATTAAATATAATTCCTAGTTTTATCGATCCTTTGTGTAAGTTTATCTTACAGAAAGTTATTTTTTCAGTAATTCAGTAAGTAGGTTAAGTTTTAGTTTTTATTAGTTTTTAATCGTTTTTATTTAATTTTATTTATTTTTGAGTTTTAGACAGTCTACTCGCCGAGTGCACTCGACCCTACTCGGCGAGTACCCTGCTGTTTGACAATTTAATTTTTATTTTTGTTCAGTTTCATTTTTTGTTCTTTTTACGCGTTTTTCTTGTTTTTGTTGCAGGATTTTCATGACCAGAGGATCCAACACTCCACTGGTTCCCCCTTTTGAAGACCCGGAATCCGCGTTGAGGAAAAACAAAGGCAAAGACGTTGAAAGCTCGAATACACCTAAGAAGTCGCCTTTGTCTGGCTTGAAGACGGTTTTTGGGAAGAAGAAGAGCAGCAAATCAGGAGCATCCAACGCCTCTTTAGCAAGCGAAGACCCAATCAGAGAGGATACCGAGTACGAAACCGAAGAAGAAGAAGACCCTACATTCGGGCACGTTTCCGATTCCGACGACGAATTAGCTATCCCTATGGCTAACATCGATGAAGTCCCCATGGGGGAATGGAAGAAGAGGATACGCGATGATATCGGGCCGGGACTTATGCAACCCGCAATTCCCGCAACTGCCACTTTTGAGCTTAAGGGTCACATCCTTGCTCTACTCAAAGAGATCCCCTTCCACGGAAAAGACCACGAAGATGCTTACAAACACTTGGATGAAGTCAATGATGTAGCTGACTATTTTAATGTTCCAAACGTGCCTCGCGAAACTCAGCTACTTCGCATGCTTCCGGTTACATTGAAGGGTGCTGCAAAGGATTGGCTCAAGTCACTCCCCCCGGATCCATCACTACATGGGCCAAGATGAAAGAAGAGTTTATTGATCAATTTTGCCCACCCTCCAATATATCTAAGTTAAAGAAAGCCATAGCCAACTTTGAACAACAAGCTGGAGAGTCACTTTATGAAGCTTGGGAGAGGTACAAGAGTTTGCTAAGGAATTGCCCACATCATGACCTTAATAGTCAACAAGAAGTCTCCATTTTTTATGATGGAGTAAATGTTACAACAAGGCAATTACTTGACTCGCAAGGTCCACTAACAAAGAAGGCACCCCCGGTGATAAAGCAACTAATTGAAGAATTCTCTAAGCATTCTAGAGAATACCACAACCCAAGGAATGATGTGACAAGGGGATCAACTTATGCAGCTTTGGAAGATTTGTCAGCAGTTATGGCTTTGTTGAAAACCATGGATAGGAGGATGGATAAAATGGATCAAACGATACATGCTATTCGGGTGGGTTGTGAGAATTGCCATGGACCTCATCTTACTAGAGATTGTGACTTGGACGAGAACGAGAATAAGAAGGTGAAAGTATGCTACTCAAGTGGTGACCGATATGATGAAGATTGGCGAAAACCCAAGAAAGAATGGCTTCCTTATGATGAGTACAAGAAGGCTAAGGAGGAGAAATATAAACAAAAAAGGAAGAGGTTTTTACCAAAAGGAGGAGCCGGTGCAAGAAAGAAAACCAAGTTTGGAGGAGATGCTTACCAAGTTTGTAGCTGCTTCAGAAAAGAGACACAATGACCATGATGCTGCAATACAAGAGACAAGAACAATGCTTAGGAATTAGCAAGCATCTATCCACAACATTGAGATACAGCTGGGGCAACTTGCTCAACAAATCAATCAAAGATCACCGGGAGAACTCCCTAATAAAACCGAAAACAACCCACGAGGCGCACATATAAATATTGTGACAACTAGAAGTGGGAAGATAATTACCCCCCTATCGCCTATTCAGAATGAAGAGCCCAAGCAGTCACAAAAAGGAGGATACAGAAAAACCGAGCCAAAGTCAAAATCTACTGGACACAGACCCTACTCGCCGAGTCCAGAATATGGACTCGTCGAGTCCACTGCCTAATCAGAAAAGTCAGATTCCTGCAAAGCCATTTCAGCCTCCATTGCCATATCCAGCCAGAGCTAAGAAAGAAAAGAATGAAGAAGACTTCCAGAAGTTTCTAGAACACATAAAGGCTCTTCAAATCAACATACCATTCATAGAAGCGGTTGCCCAAATGCCAAAATACGTCAAGTTTCTCAAAGAGCTTCTAACTAATAGAAGGAAGATGGAAGAAGTGAGTGAAGTAGTTCTTAATGAGAATTGCTCAACTGCCATGTTGAACAAGCTACCGAAGAAGAAGGGGGACCGGGAAGTTTAACCTTACCTTGTCAATTTGGAAACTTGGCCACCATATATGCACTAGCTGATTCGGGGGCAAGTGTAAACCTCATGCCTTATTCATTTTTCAAGAAGTTAGATCTCCCCGAGCCTAGACCCATTCGCATGGCAATCCACTTAGCAAACAAAACGGTTACATTCCCACGAGGAATTTGTGAAGATCTTTTGGTAAAGGTGGATAAATTCGTGTTCCCAGCGGATTTTATAATTTTGGACATGGAAGCGGATCCTCAAGTCCCGATCATCCTTGGAAGACCTTTCCTTAACACCGCAAGCGCTATAGTGGACATGCGAGATTCAAAACTTACTATACGGGTGGGAGATGAATCAGTCACTTTCGGGGTTGATCAAGCCATGAAGCATGCAAGGAACAGTGATGACACGACATTTTCAATTGATATGTTGGATGAATTAATGGAGGAATGGAACAATGAAGAACCAAACAAGTCCACCATCGCCTTTGATGAAGAACTTGATGCTGAAAAAGACCTACTGGAAATAGAGAAACTGCTGGAAGAAGCTGATTATAATGAATTAATAAAGACCACTGAACAGCCGACTCGCCGAGTAGACACGACCTACTCGCCGAGTCCATTTGAAGAATCCCGAGATATCGTGAATTCTGCCCAGGACTCGACGAGTCCCCTCACTGTTCAGCATGCAGAACACAAAAACTGAGCTGAAGGCACTACCAGATCACTTGGAGTATTCATTTACGTTCGTTTATATCCGATCGTTTATGTTAGGTTATTTAAGTACTACTTTGATGTACATTTGTTTAGGTTCATTTATGTTTGTTTATATACTTATAGTTTTTTAAAAGTAAATTACAACATGATGGCATGACATATATTTTTTTTGGAAATGTATATATATGCACATCTAAATATGCATGCATGCAGATTTACGACTTCTATGTTTTTATGTGTTCAAATTACGATTCTCTTAAACGTTAGTGTTAGAGTCTCATATATTGTTGTGTTGGTTTTGAAAATTGTTGAAAAAAGCATAAATATTTATGCATATATATATATATATATATATATATATATATATATATATATATATATATATATATATATATATATATATATATATATATATATATATATATATATATATTTAAAGCTTTTGACAAATTGGCATCATATTTTGTCATTTTTTGATAATGGAAAATCTTCTTTTGCGATAATGGAGCATCTTCTTTCATCTTTGTAAAAGTTGTTTGTTTTCGTGTAATAATTTAGCATCTTATCTCTGCAGAAGATTTGATAATATTTTTGATAATTGATGTACTCACACAGTGTATAAATTTGATAACAGTTGAATAAATACTAACACAATTTGATATATATACACATTCCAAAAAAATCATCAAATATTTTTTTTAGCCTAGATATTACTTAGACGTACCATTTGAAAACTAATGATAGTTTTTTTTTCTGATAAATGATAAATAAATTAGGTTCTCGAGTTCTCACAAACTTTTAAGTTTTTAAAATAACTTATCTCTCTCTCTCTCTCTCTTCATATATATATATATATATATATATATATATATATATAGAGAGAGAGAGAGAGAGAGAGAGAGAGAGAAAGAAAGAAGATGGTTCAAATAAAAACTGTAAATAAAATGAGAATGTGAGAATATATATACATTTTTATGTCATTATTCCTCAATAAATATATGAATAAGCACATATTAATATTCACATTAAAACTAGTAAATTACTACATATATAAATTTTATAGTAGAATAATAACATAAAAATGAATATATAAATACATTTATGTTATTATTCACATTATAATTGCTCCAACAGTACACATATTAAATTCAAAGCAGAAAAATAACACCTTATAATTTTATTTAGCATTGATCATTGAAAATATGTATTGCAACAAACACCGTCACACGCATCAAAGTATTGAGGCTATTTGAGAAAAATATTTAGTAAAATACGATGGTTTTACGATTTACCATTATGACGAATTACAGACTTTTGGATTATTTACGAACTTAATCTAGGACGATAAACCGATGAGTGTTTAGGTTTACATTTATTTGTATATTAAGTTTCTATATTTACTAGGACTCTAGGAGTTAATAATAATAATGTAGGATAACTTTGACATATAATGGTTCTGGACACCCATGTGAGTTTCATGAACTTTGAATAACTGAGATATATGATGCTTTACAAGTTGTTTCGGGTACGGATCCGAATTTTGTGCATGTTAGTGTGTGAAACTATTTCATTGTTACACGTGTGGATACCGAAATCTGATTATGCAAGATACATGCTTGGAACACCAAGTCATGTTATGTTTTGGACGCCGAATTCAGTTAATGTCGATTAAGAGTGATTGTTCACTATAACTACTGTACACCGTGATGTATATACATTACTTTCATATCATGACTATGAATGTTTTTTTTTTTTTTTTTTTTTTTTTTTTTTTTTTTTTTTGTCTATATGTATTACATGTTTTACAGTTTATTATAATATGTTTAAAGAAAATCATGATCTCGCAAAGCTTTGGTTAATAGTATATGTATGGACTCGTATCGTGGGATAAGAAATATAAAATACCTCTAAGGATGAGTTATAAAAGAAATCATTGATGTATTTTAATGTGATCAATTAATTAGTTTTAGTTTTAAGACTTCCGTTGTATTAAATTTAAGAATTATGTAGTTTATGTAAATTATAACGATTATTATATGTAATAGTCACGAACTAGAAATAGGGTGTCAGTCACAATGTCACATATAATGGATACTTATAATAGCACACGTAAAAAAAGGTTGCAGTAGCATTTGGTAATCTACCTCGCAGTGATAAGGGGCGTATCTCCCGCAGATACATGACCTGCACTAGAGATATCCCATAATCCAGACGATGAATGCTGGTGATCCACACGTTTTTGTAGAAGTAGTTGTTGTGTACTTTCAGCAAAAATCCATACATGAACACCTCGGTGATAATCCCCATGTTTGTGGATGACGCTTCTGTACAATGTTTGATCATTGAATAAATATCCCATGAAACTTCATATCAAACAGTTTATATTATAAAGTGTTTAAGAACTGGAAACCTACCCAAAAAAAGTTAAGTAAATAAGAAATATAACTGTGCCGGACAGTGTTGAAAAAAATAATGTCAAACGTATGAGTTATAAAATTTAAACTTGATATATATGGAGTATTTTACAGATTCATCGTCGTTGTCTGTCATGAAGAACATGTCTAACGTTCTTATAGTCTGTAATCCAAACCCCAGCATACAACTATTAAAGTTGAGAATCATTCCCTTTTCTCAGTTTCTTATTAACGAGTAACGAAACCCGAACCAAAATGTTTAGCTCACGATAGAAAACTGTGATCACGTCATGCTAGCTATTTTGACATGCATGGGGTTACTTTCAAAAACGAAAAACTGATCAAAAGATTATTAATTTAGCAACAAATCTGACCTGGGTTTTGAAATACCAGTTTTCAGACCGGCTTTAGTGCAGATGTTAAAGCGTCCTTCTTCATGTAGCTCATCGCGATCGCCCATTGTTTTACTTTGCTTTGCTTTGTTTATTGTGTGCTTAATTTCAATACGATTAACCTGAATTTATAGGCAATGTAATGCACCCTCAATTTCCAACTATACCCCTAATATCAGTCATCAAATTTTTATTTGAACCTCTCCAATATGTAATGAACTTTCCATTTTTAATTTCGTTTTTTTATTAGTATTATTTTTGACTTTAACGTTTTAATATATTAACTTTATCTTCTTAGAATATATGAATGAAATAACTATTTTTGAAAATTAAATTGTTTAAAACACAAGACAAAACAACATAAATGGTCCCTGTTTTTTACCAAAAGTCACAAACTTAGTCCTTGCTAATTTCTTTTGACGAACATGATCTCTGATCTTTGTGGTTTCCAAAACTTGTGTGAATGGTCATTTTTGCTAGCACTGTTAATTTTTGTTTGTCATTGTGAGAGTGACTTGGTCATTTCATGTAATAGGGACTGAGTTTGTGACAATAAGTAAACCATATGGACCATTTATGTAATTTTGTTAATATTTTATGTTAATGAGTCTATGGCTTTTCCACAATTTAGACCTTTCACTTCTAACTTTGTAAAATGTTATTTTCACCCCTTCAACTTCTAAACCTTTGTGTTTATCGTCCGAAATATATATAGTTTGATTTTCCAAAATAAATTTCGTTCGTTGACCTAAAAAATATATTTTTATGTGTTTGTTTTTATATATTTGTCGGTATAAATTAAAGGTGGTCAACGTTTCGACGTAAATTTAAAACTTCCTTATTTTTTTTTAAAAAACGTAGTATTTATTTTTTATGCACGCGTCAGTTTAAATTCGAGTTTGTCTACATTTTGACGTAATTTTTTTTATGTTTTCGTGCTTAATTTTATGTACATTTCCTACGCATGAGTCGGATCGCATATAATATCTTTCGTTTTATAAAAACGTATTATATTCAAGTTTATCTATGTTTCTATATAATTTTTTTTTACGTTTTTGTATGCTTAATTTTATATATGTTTCCTACGTATGAATCGCGTCACATATAATAAATTTTGTTTATTAAATAAAAAGACTAATTTTTTACGTGTTTATGTTATGCATGTGTTGTTATAAATTCAAGTTGGTAACATTTCGACGTATTCAACGTAAATTTAGAACTTTCATTCGGTATTATTATTTTTAAATACTTACTTATTTTTTTTACACACGTTGCGGTTTAAATTTGTAACGTCCTAAAAAAATTCCAATAAAATTTTTTGTTTTAAACCATCAAATCATATAATCAATTGTTCCAAACAAAACAATTTAAAATGTATTTTCAAACATCAGAGTATATCAAAAGTAATCAATGCGGAAAAAGTCATCAGGGGATGTGGTGTAGTCAAGTCGGACCCTTCCCTTTGAAATTGGAAGTACCTGAAAATGTTTAAACCACAAAACCGTAAGCATAAAACTTAGTGAGTTCCCCAAAATACCACATACCATGCATACATAAGATATGGAATGATATGAGTCATCCATAGTCTTACTGTCACTATCAGCCATAAGCCAATCATGGTCTTTTCCTTGTCACATTAGGAGCCAAATCCTAGTTTTATGTATAAGTGTTAAGAGCCACCTCATGGTCTTCCTTGCAAGCATCACAAAGACAACTAACAACATATATATAAATGTTGGGGCCTGACCCTAGTCTTGCATACAATTGCCATGAGCCACCACCTAGTCTTTCATACACATTTCAGGGGCCACCACCTTGTCTTCAATGCAAGTATCACTAAGATAATAACATCCTACATAGTATAGTGAGAAGACTTACCTGACTCTCAAAATCAGCTAAACCACAACTCAATGGCATGCAACAGATGCTACAACAATCCTATCAAAACATACATGGTCTAACCTTAGTCTACATGAAAATACTAAATTACCCTCGCACTAAAGGACGAAAACTAACGATGTTAGTAGAAAGTAACATTCATGCAAGTTTTGGAAACCATATGAACCATATTCGTAAAAAAATTAGTAAAGACTGAATTTGTGATCTTTGGTATATGGACCATTTATGTAGTTTTGTCAAAACTAAATGTCAATAATAATTTTAAGATTAGACTTATTAATATCAAAATATCTTTATAATACTATTAATATTAAGTTTATTAATAGCAAATTATATGATTAAATACACAATGTCAATATCTTTATAAAAATTGTTAGATAGACAATGTGAATATCTTTATTGAGTGTGACCGTTTGAGTAAAATGAGCTGGATAATTTGAATGTAGGTTGTGTTTGACGCACAACAACTAACTTAATTTTTTTGTTTTTTTAAATTGTCATGTTTGACAAATTAAAAAATAGCAAATAAGCTAGTTTTTTTTAAAAAATATACATTGAGTAGTTTTTCAGAAGCTTTTTAAATTTTTTTCAAATATACCTTTAATTAATTATAAAAAACATATTTTTCAAAATGCATTTTTTATGTGATTTTATATCTTTCAACTAATTTATCAATTAGTTTTTATCAAACATTATTTTTTTATCAATTAATTTTTTAGTTACCAGCTAACTTTTCAGCAAATTTGCAAAACATAACCTTTAATATTATAAAACATTATTATCACACAGTATTTTATATATATATATATATATATATATATATATATATATATATATATATTATATATATAATTGCACAAATGGAATTTTTATCAACTTATATATTTTTGAAATATGGCATTTTTATAAATAATAAATAATATGAAATAGCTTGATGATACATTTATCTTAAATGAAGAATAAATTATTTAATTAAAAAATACTTTTGAAAATGATAACGATCTGTATGGCAAAAACCTTTTTGTTAAATAAATGTTTAAAATGAAGAATAAATTATTTGATTAAAAAAATACATTTGAAAATGATAACAATCTGTATAGCAAAAACCTTTTTTGTTAAATAAATGTTTATTTGTTAAATAAATGTTTAAAAACACCAAAGGGCTTTTAGCCCAGCGGTATATGGTGTTGTCCTCTCTTCTTGCGGCCGAGAGTTCTAGTTCCGTGATGGACATAGGTGGAGATTTATGAGTAGTTTAAAAATATAGATTTGCCGTTTAAAAATAAATAAATAAAAAAAATTAAAAACAATAAATTAATAATGTGTGAGTTCTTAATCCCGACTATGAAATCATGTCAAATGTTTGTCTCGTAAGAGTATTTGTTGACAAAAATAAAAATAATAATAATAATAATAATAAATTAAAAGCACTAAATAATATATGAGTTCTTAATCCCCCGACTATGAAATCATGTCAAATGTTTGTGTCTCGTAAGAGTATTTGGTTGACATTTATATTGGTTGTATTTTGGTATATGTTGCTCCTATTATTAGATATTTGTTATCGTATTTTTGCATCCTAATTTTTTATCCATTATACTGTTGAATTTTATATCTGTTTATCAGAGCAAGTATTTGATATCTATTTTGATATATTTTGGTTGCTAAGGTGGTAATTTGGATTGCCAAGGGATCCCCAACAACCCGTGAAGATACTCGAAGGTTATGTATTTTATTAAACTAGTATTTTGCATGTCGTGTGTTGTGGCGGTGTCAAAACATTTTGTAAATTGAATTTTGATGATTGTATTGATAAAAGTTAGGTATTGTTGCATTTGTTGGTAGATAAATATACAAGGTCGGTACCACATGAAAAAACAGTCGGTGGATGGGATAAACACAAAAGTTTAGAAAGTCGCGGGGGGGGGGGGGGGGGGGGGGGGGGGGGTCTAAGTGACATTTGATAAAGGTGAGGGGTGGTAATTTTAGAAAATCTAAGTCGAGTGACTGAAATCAACATTTTACAAAGTAGAGGGCTGAAAAGTGTCATTTCACAAAGTTGAAGGGTCGCAAATGTTGGTGGAAGCAGTCGGTACCACTGACTAACTCTAATTTATATTGCCAAATGAAAACGTATTATATGTAATCAAATTCATATGTAGGAAACGTACATAAAAATAAGCACGGAAAATGAGTAAAATTTACGTTAACAAGTAGAGAAACTCGAATTTATACTAACATGTACATAAAAATAAAGTAAGATTTCTTTTTTATTTTTTTAAGCTAACGAACGAAACTTCATGTTGGAGTCGTTATCTTCAAATTCTTATTGTTTAGATATATGTTTATCTCTTTTTCAAATTTGTCGTTATCTTTAGCTTATTTTATAAACTATTGTAATTGGTTTCTAGAGCCTAAGAATAATACGACACTTCCATAATTCTTAGTCAATTTCACATGGTATCAAAGTAGGTCTGGAAACCCTAAGCCATGAGAGCCCTGCTGATGCGTCTTCATCAAAGACGTCCATTGATATCACGTCTCCATTCTTCCTCACTCTTGCTGATCATCCAGGCCAAAATTTCGTTGAAGAAAATTTACTCCATGACAGAAATTACAGTGACTGGCAAAACGAGATGACGAATGCATTGTTTGCCACAAACAAGATGGGTTTCGTTGATGACACAATGCCGATGCCAAAAGAAGATTCTGGTGAGCTGATGAACTGGAGGAGAAAAGGGGAGGGTGAAGAGTAGTGCATTATTGCTACTGCTACTCACGAAGCATTTCAAGATTATCGCAATTTTAATCAGTTTATTATTTCAAGAAAGTATACTAATTATCAAATCTGATTGTGTTGTCTTTTCAGATCGCGACACTCAGAGCTTGCCGACGGAGCAAAGCTCGGTTTGTAAGACATGAGCATGGGACTTGCAAACATGTACAAACGAATAAGGCTCGAACGCGCAAGCAGCAAGCCAATATCATACATCAATTTGTTCTTAATCCTCACACTTTCTAAAAAGGGGGAGTAGAGGGGTTAGCACGACACTATGCAGAAGTGATATTCATTCCAAAGAGGCAGAGTTAAAATACATGAAGAGCTTATATTATACATGATAGTACATTCCCGAGGTGACATAAGATTGAAAGATCAGCATCATGACCC